CTTATATTGCTTACAAACTGTATGGCCGTGGCAGGCTTCTTGCTAACTGTTCTTATATCTTAAATTAACCCATTTCTATAAATCTATACCTTGCCACGCTTACCAGCATCTTCACACACAGTTTGTCATGGTGGCGGCTGGCAGTGTCTCTCTTTCCCTTCCTATTCCCTTAATTCTCCTCTCTGTTAGTCCCACCTATACTTCCTGCCTGGCCAATGGCAAATCAGTGTTTTATTTATTGACCAATCAGAGCAACAGATTTGACATACAGACCATCCCACAGCAGTACATCCCAGGACCCTGATATCAGACAACTCACAAATACCTGAAGCTCCAGCTCTGAGGGATATAATGCCCCTTTCTGACCTCCATGACCATCAGCAATACACATAAATAAAAATAAGTCTTTTAAATGAGTATATTAATTAACATGTAATAGAGATGAGCTAAGTTTAGAACACATGCCAACACACATGAAACCTAGTTGATAGAACAAGAAAAAAAATTATTCTAAAGGTAGATTCTACTATCATGCAAGAGTGTCCAAATTTTTGACATTGTGACACATACAATCTGCTGGCTAGCTGTGTGCCAACTTAACATGAGCTAGAGTCACCTGGGAAGATGGAACTTCAACTGAGAAGATGCCTGTGGGCGAGTCAGTGGAGGATGTTCTTGATTACTGATTGATGTGGGAGGATTCAGCCTATCTAGGCACGTCATTTTGAGATAGATTTTTTTTTTTAAGTAAGCAGAACAAGCCATGGAGAACAAACCAGTGAGCAGCGTTCCTCCATTGCTGTGCTTCAGTTTCTGCCTTGAGTTCTTGCCCTGACATACCTTCACGATGGACTGTAAGATGCAATAAACCCTTTCCTCTTCAAGTTGCATTTGGTCATGATCTTTTTCACAGCAATCAAAAGCAGAGGACACTATCTAGACATATACCTAGCAGTGGGAAAGCTGAATCACAGGAAGTTCAATTCTTGTTTTGAAAAGCAGATTCTACACGATTTTGCTTAAAAGCTGTACTGATTTATATCCCCTCAGTGTTCTTCATTCTCTTATCTTCGCCAACACTTAACAACGTTCTATCATGTTGATTGTAATAAGGACAAGAGATTTCTCATGGTGGTTTGGGTTTGTAGTCTCTGAACATAATTGCCCATTTTTTCACATACATACTGGCCATGTTTGTGTCTTCTTTTGAGAAATGTCTATGCATGTCCTCTTATTATTAAAGGAAACTGATTTGTTCCTGCTGTATTGTGTGCCTTCTTAAACTTTTGGGTTGGTAGACTCTTGTCTGAGGTATCATTTGCAAATATTTTATGCCATTCTAGTAGCTTTACAGTTTTGAATCTTAGTCTCAGTCTAATTATATATATAATTAATTAACATTAATTAATTATATATACAATTACTTTTATCTGTGTTCTGAAAGAAGAGTCCAGTTTCAGTCTTCCAAATATGGACAAGCAGCACTCCCAAGATTATTGAAGAGGCCATCAGTTCTTCATTGAGTGTCTTAGAAATTTTACAAAACTATATTGACATTAGACATATGGGTTTACTTCTGGTCTCACTAGTTTCTCAATTTTCATATCAGTGCTGTGTTACTTTGCCACAATAGCTTTACAATGTATTCTGAGGGCTGTAGAGATGGCTCAGAGGTTAAGAGCACTGAATGCTCTTCCAGAGGTCCTGAGTTCAATTCCCAGCAACCACACGGTGGCTCACAACCATTTGTAATGAGATCTGGTGCCCTCTTCTGGCCTGCAGGCAAACATGCTGTATACATAATAAATAAATATATCTTTTTAAAAATGTATTCTGAAATCATGTGGCATGACACCTCTAGTTTTGTGTCTCTTTCCTGGTTGCTTGCTTTGACTATTTAGAAACTGTTGTACTGTCATACAAATGTCAAGAGTGACTTTTCTATTGCTCTGAATCATGCTATTGGTATTATTACATACATTTCACTGAATCTGTAAATCATTTTGGTACAACGGGCATTTTAACAATATTGATTCTTCCAACTCATGAGTACATGCTATTTCTTTCCTCTAGCTACAATTACCTTCAAATAATTTCACAGTTGTCTTACAGTTCAATGTATAGATTTCATCTCCTTGGTTAAATTAATCCCAAGTCTTTTCATTGACAGTATTGTAAGTAAGACTGTGCTCTTACATTATGAATATTCATATACTTGTTTTGTATCCTGAAATCTTACTATCTCTTTTTAACAAATATTCCCTATGTGGAAATAGCCAAAATATTTCACTGGCTAGACTCACATAACACACACTAATCTCAGCTATAGAGAAAGCTGGAAGTGTAACTATGTCCCAAGTTTATACTGAAAAATCAATATTATATTAGTGAGGAAGCAAAATAAGCTAGAAATGAGGTATATAAAGCAATATCAGTCACAGATCCTCATAGAGTAAATTAAATGATATTCTCTAACAAATATTGAGACCATTTGACACCAGATTTATTTTTGTTTACTTTGTCATCCTCTCAGTTGCCCTTGTGGTATAGAACTTCATGGTTGTCTTCATATCTTCTAATCCATGTGTACAAAGAAGATATCACTATATGTGAGTGCAAACTTTTGCTCCATACCCAAGGA